ATAATTCAAATGCTATGTATAATAAAATATTCGTAAAAAGTAACATTCAAATACTATTCGAATATTCGATTAATCGACAAAAATTTATTATTCTTTATTCTAAATAGAAAATTTTTTATTCGTCAAAATTTGGAAAAATAATGAAAAAATCTAAATGTTAACTGATTTTATTATAATGAAAATCAAGTGTCCAAATCATTATGGAAATAAATTAGCCGATGACATTCAAGATACCCACCCTATGTATGTTGACGATGTCTTAGCCGGAGGTCACACAATTGAAGATGCTAAAAAAGCTCAAACTAAATTGATCGCGGCTTTTGACCCTGCTGGTTTTCCTTTGAGAAAGTGGACTTTCAATACAAAGAATGCTGGAAATCAACTTATGTTGAGAATAATCTGGTTCGAAGGATCAATGTTTATTTAGGGATAAGAGGGAGATGGGTACCTACGCGGGAACTAGAGGAAGGGTAAATGAAAAAAGCTTGGGATTTTTTGAAAGGTAAGTATATAAGGTGAGTAGGTATATGGGTTAAATATATAATTAACACAATGTTTAGGTTAGATTTTATGTGCAATATTTATTCTTAGTGTAAGTTAGATTTAAGTATTAATTTATTTATTTTAGGGTAGGTATTTTATATCAGTTTCAGTTAATTATTTATTTACCCAGGAAAAACTTATATTGAAAAGTAATGAGTTAAAAAGGTAATAAAACCTCTTTTCACTACTTCTTTATTAGCATTTTAATTCATTATTTTAACACGGTGATGCCATTGGAGGCAAGTACTTCTACGCTCGCTTACAAATAGGGAGTTCAAGAAGTACTTGTAATTTATCTTACAAAACAGTTGTTGAGTAAGTTGTTTTGTTTTTTAATAATAAAAAGAGCCAGCTGGAATACGAACCAGGGACTTCGGTTTGTTAGTCAACCGTTCTACTCACTTAATCACTGCTTAGCTATTTTATTGGACGTCAAATAATGGTTTTCACATACAAATTTTATTTTGTTTTCTTTTTTGTAAAACACAATTCTTAACACGCAATTAAATAAAATGTGCAAACAAAATGAAAAAGCCGAAAATAAAGTACTTCTATATCAGATTATATGAAAGTCATTACTAGAGTACTTCTAAGTAATGCAGACGATAAGTAGTTGTCATTAAAAGTAAGTGGTTATGGAAGTACAACCCATTACCGTGTATTTATTTATTTATTTTGAATAAGTGTTTTAAATATGTTTGGGTTTTACGGTAAGTATTATTATTCACAATATTTTATAACTTTTAGATTTATGTAAGAATTTTCAAAACACACTTTTTATATATATTTTATTTCACAAACTAAACTATTTTCTAATGTTTTAACTATATTTTTTGGAATAGATTTTAAATATTGTATTATTTGGGGTTTTTACTATTTGATACTCGATGTTGTTAAATGATTTTAACTTTAAGCTGCAGGGTATATGCAAGCGCTCTTGTTGTTCTTCACACAGGTTGATTGTTAAGGAGAGAAGTAAAAAAGCAAAAGGCTGTAATAAGATATGAAACATTGAAATCAGATAAAAACTGACAAAAATATATATTTTTTTCGTAAAAACAAAAATTTACCAAATCTCTTATTTCTAAAGTAAATTGTCCATTTGCATAATAAAGCTTATATTTGTGTTGCATATCTTACGTTGATATTTTACTTTAGCAAAGAGAGATTTGGTAAATTTTTATTTTTACGAAAAAATCTATTTTTTGTCAGTTTTTATCTGATTTCAACATTTCATACCTTATTTGATTCATAAAAGTATGAACTAAAATAAAAAATATTTAAAAAATATGCTTTCAAATAAAGTAAAAAAATTGCAAAAAATATAAAAAATTTTATTTAGATCTAAATATTTTACACATTTCCGTAAAAAATATAAAAGTATGTGTACTTTTTGAAAAGTACAAAGGAAACTCTTTTCGAAACAGTTTAAAAATATTAAATCAGTTAAGAAACTTTTGAGATATAATTTTTTTAGTCTGTCAAGTCAAAAAAAGCGTTTTTCCAATATCTTTCGATTTTTATGGTATATTGAAGATTCTAAGAATGGTAAAATGATCTACCCATGTAGGTCTATAAAAACCATTGTATCGCGTAATGAGTGTTTTCGAGTGTCACACAGTGTAATTAATAATATAAAAACGAATAAATCTGCAACACTTATATAAATGTTTATCGCGAATTTGTTTAGTTTAGTCTTTATGTTGTTTTCTTTCTTATTTGATGCAGATTTTCCTGGCGGTTAAGAGGTGCATATAAGTAATTATCAAAATTTATGTATATAAATGTTACCGAATTAAAAAAATATTCATTACTTACTGCGACTTCTACGCTTGAAGGAGGTAGTAATCGAGAAGATACTTTTGTGCATTTGCAATTGTCAAAACACCATTGGGCGTACTGACGCAGTTTCCCATCTAATGACTCCAAACACTTCTTAAGGTGTGAAACAAAATATCTGCAAAAATTAATATGAAGATTTTTTAAATTTAAGTTAGGAATTATGTTCTAAAGATAGATATTTCAACAAAACTCTGGGAAAGACCCCTACAAAGTATACCTATGAGGATTTTATGTCAAGTGATCCAATTTTTAAAACCGATGTCTTCCGATCGGTTTGAAATTTTAATGTTAGTCCTATTGAATAGTAGGTTCGGTGCAATTTTTCAACATGTTCGGTCAAGAACTTTCTTTTTTACAGTGGGTCAAGGTTTGACATTTTTTCCAATGATGTGTTTCTCGTAGCACAGTGGTTTAGAAACTTTTATTTTTGGAAATAATTCGGTATCTCTGAAACTACTGGATATCGCAATGAAATTTTACAAAAGTAATTATACCATTAACATTAAATTTACTGAATTGTAAATAATATTATTAATTTTAAGGAATTAAAACATTCGATTGCGTCACAAGTTGACAATAAAGAAATAATTGAATTTCATTAAACTGAACCGGTGTTATTATTCTTAGTCAGGTCGACAGTACACTCTACCGTGAACCAATTTTTAATTCTTTTGCTTAAATGCAAACTTCTTTGATAAACTTTGCCTAGAGGAGTAAATTGGAACTGAAGTTTGCTGCGTATAGATGAACTTGTACTTGTACATTACCAAACCCATTTTAACCTCAACCACATGTAAGTATTAACATGGACTCCTCATCACAAAACGGTCAACCACATAACATAGGCGACGACTCAATACAAAATGTATCACAAATATGTCAGCTTTGTCATGAACAAATTGCAGACGTCGTAATAATTTGCCACAGATGTCAAAAACCTTACCACACGAATTGCGCTAAAGTATCGAGCTTACAAGCATCATGGTTGTGCCCAACGTGCAATTCTACATACTATTTACAAACCGCGTCTAGTACACATTCGTTAATTGCAGGCACTCGAACTACAAAAGTTAGAGGAAGAACGAGAACTTTCCTTGCGACGATACCACGAATATTTGAGTAAAAAGTCTCAAATACTCCATGAAATGGACGAGGAAAATACAGATCATAAACCCAATACGGTTCCGAGTCAAATAATCGAAGCATCAAATACTGTCGAAAATTCTCCGAATATAACCTCACTTAATGCGTCAATACATGTACCAGTAGCATCAAACAGTATCCCCATTATGTTAACATCCGTAACTAATCCCAATATAAATAACACTTATAATTCAAACAACATATCAGGCTATGAACAATACAGTCAATGAAAATTACACTCATATATACCGGGACAAGCAAAGCCCGTAACAGCCCGTATATGCAGGACATAGGCTTAGAACTGATCAATTACATGCTCGTCAAACTGTTCCCAAAGAACTACCATCCTTTTCGGGCAGCCCAGAAGAGTGGCCATTATTTAGTTCGACCTACGACTGGTCTACAGCCGTTTGAGGTCTGACAGATGCAGAAAATTGAATAAGATTGCAGCGAGCTCTTCGTGGTTAAGTCCTGGAGGCAATTAAACGAATTCTTGTTCATCCCTCTTGTGTTTCGCATGCCATTTCAACACTAAAATTATTGTATGGTCAGCCCGAAAAAATATAGTTTTCCTTAAAAAAACAAAATAAAAACATTACCGCAAATAAGTCCCAACAAAATGGAAACAATGACCAACTATACAGGTAAAAGTTTTGCAATCCCCTATTGAAGAATGTGGTCTCATGGATGAGTTAAATAATTCGTCGTTAATTCAGGAACTCGTGTCCAAACTGCCACCGTATTACCAAATAATTTGGGGATCAAACAAATTAAGTCATCAACTTCAAACAAATTATATCTTCAACTTCAAAGTAATATAAAAGCAAATATAGTTGAATTTTCTAATTGGATTGTCAGCAAACATAGTAAACGTCGAAAACCATCTGACAGATGACCGTAGTTGAAATCGTAAACAAAAGAATGTCTTTATTAATGCCCATGGAGAAACAAATAAAAAGAAATATCATATTTGTAGTGGCGAATGTAAAAACGTTACAAATTGAACCAAATCTGTGAGTGCTGATCGCAAAGAGAGATAGAATTACGTAAAAAACAACTTTGTTGAGATGGACTGCAAATATAGAAAGAGTGGAAAACAATTCACAACAGTGCAGGTGTCTTGAAATAATAACAAACAATTTGCTATAGTTGTTCGCACAGTAAAAGAATTTTTGTTGCCGAAACAAACACTTGCGTAAGAACTTCTTTGTAGAAAATTTACTTATTTAAAAGGGTTGCCAATTGACAGCTACTTTGCAATTACACCAAAAGTAGTAATTGGACTTAATAATATAAATGATACACTTTCAAGCAAAATAAAAGAGGGAAAAATAAATTAGCCAATTACTCAAAGACGGCACTGGCTGGACAGTTTTGCGAGTGTTCTAAAACTGACAGTATGATACATCACACAGTGGGGCAGAATCGAAATTTTTTGGAAATAAATCTGGCATTTCTAAACGGCTGATCCGATCGGTATAAAATTTGGCGTGAGCGTAGCCAAGGAGTATTCGAGTTTAAGTTTTGAAGATGAACCCCGCAGATGCCCCAGGGACGGCACTGTGGCCGCTCAAAGTAGGGTACCTACGACATGTAAAATTTTTAAACTCGTGCCATTTTTACAAAGATTTTTATATTTTCTGAAACTTATCTCTTATAATATCCGAGTTATAGGCATTTAAAAATTTAGTGATACAAAATTTACCATACCTTGGTCCGCCTTTTTTTTGAATACCGGGCGTAATTTTGGACCAAATGGACTCAATTTTTTGTTAGTTAGACAACAAAATTTCCAATAATATAAAAAAAATGGACTCAATTTTTTGTTAGTTAGACAACAAAATTTCCAATAATATACAAAAAATTTCAGATCAATATCATTTACAGATCCAAAAATATACGTTTTTTAATTTAAAAATTCAAAAAATTTTAGATTTTTGCCGTTTTTTTGCCAAAAATGTGTCTTAACTCTTTTATAAATAAAATAAAATTTTCTTTAAGAACATATAACAATTTTATAGTTTTCTAAAAGGTATCTTTACGCAGAACGCTTTGGCGTAAAAAACTTGTGCTATTTTTTGAAAATGTTGCCACTGCGTCCTTCCGAATATGACCTATTTTTTATCAAAACTTCAACTTTGGGCGACATGTTCTAAAATCCCAAAGCTGGGATCAGAAAACTGAAAGCAGTTTTGGAAACCTCAATATGTTTTCTATTTACTCCAAAAGTATTTTCCCAGCCCTGAAAAAAATGTGGACCCTATCGGCAAAAAAGTAAAAAATACCATTTTTGGGATTTTCATTTCTATTTTTGGGAATTGCGGGATGCCCTTTGACCTTTTCAATTTTTTTTGCATTTTTTTTGCATTTGAAATGATAAATTTAACAAGCGTTGAAAATTTCATTGAGTTTTGTTCATAAATAAAGATTTTGTCTTATATTACATATTTGTTAAATTTCTAAAACTATGATTTATATCAAAATTTTAATAGGGTCGCAGATAGCTACAACAATTTAGTCCATATTTATCCCTTAATATCATTTTTTAGTTAGATATGGAAATTCTCGACCTTTACAAAAGCCAATATCTCAATTACATTCAAAAATATGTTCATTTAAACATGTGTCCTTTAATTTCATCTTTTTCATATTTTAGTATTAAGTATGACAGAACATACATTTGGTGTTGAATAAAATATTTGGACAATTTTTAAAAATTATTTAGTTAATTATTTTATTAAAGACAATAAAAAAAAATTATAATTTTATTATGAGCCTCGCAACAACACCTAAATCACCCCACACAAACCACCTTTCCGCCCACCGAAATATAAAACACAATTTAATACAATATCATCAGTTAGTATAATATCTTTTTTTATTTGAACTGTTTATCTTAAACATAATACAATTAATACTTACAACCTACTTATATAGTTAATTCCTAACACTACTTATTTTCTATAAAATAATCTGTCATATCGGTATACATATCCAGAAGGTAATATAAGTCCTTTAAATCTTCCTTGTTTTGAGATGATAGAGTTTCATAACAAATCCATCTTTTTCGCATAGTTGAAAGAACAGGATCAGAAGATAGAAGTAAACTATTAAAAATATCTTCATTCTGTGATTGCCTGGAGCATTTTCTTGAGCTGAATAGTTGAACATGCTTAAAATCTCGATTCCTCGCTTCCTGGGCTTCTTCTGTTAACTCTCCAAGTGGAAGAATATTCGATTCAATTATTATTTGACCATGACACAATACTTTGTGTACTGTTGGTGTTAGTTCCCTCCATGGATACAGAGATACAAGTAATTTAGAAATTTCAGATGTATATTAAAATAAAATTTTCTTTAAGAACATATAACAATTTTATAGTTTTCTAAAAGGTATCTTTACGCAGAACGCTTTGGCGTAAAAAACTTGTGCTATTTTTTGAAAATGTTGCCACTGCGTCCTTCCGAATATGACCTATTTTTTATCAAAACTTCAACTTTGGGCGACATGTTCTAAAATCCCAAAGCTGGGATCAGAAAACTGAAAGCAGTTTTGGAAACCTCAATATGTTTTCTATTTACTCCAAAAGTATTTTCCCAGCCCTGAAAAAAATGTGGACCCTATCGGCAAAAAAGTAAAAAATACCATTTTTGGGATTTTCATTTCTATTTTTGGGAATTGCGGGATGCCCTTTGACCTTTTCAATTTTTTTTGCATTTTTTTTGCATTTGAAATGATAAATTTAACAAGCGTTGAAAATTTCATTGAGTTTTGTTCATAAATAAAGATTTTGTCTTATATTACATATTTGTTAAATTTCTAAAACTATGATTTATATCAAAATTTTAATAGGGTCGCAGATAGCTACAACAATTTAGTCCATATTTATCCCTTAATATCATTTTTTAGTTAGATATGGAAATTCTCGACCTTTACAAAAGCCAATATCTCAATTACATTCAAAAATATGT